CTTGATACCCCTGCTCCAGAGGATCATGCAATTACCATATTTTTCGGAGTATAAGACGCACCTTTTTCCCTCAAAAAAGAGGGTGAAAATCTGGGTGCGTTTTATACACTGAATACAGCATTTTTGGCCTACTGAAACCCCACCCCCTTTGCAAAAATGGATGTGCAGAGGGTTTGGGTGGCTTGCAAGTGCTCCTGGGGGCTGCGGAGAGCAAAAATGAGCAAAAATGCAAAAAATAGACCATTTTTTGCTCGTTTCCCCTCACCCCCAGGAGCACTCTACAAGCCTCCCAAAGCTCTGCATGCCTTTTTTGTGTGTGCAAAAAACAAATCGTGCAGAGGATTTGGGAAGCCTGCAGAGTGCAAAAACTTTTTTTTTTAATTTACCTCTTCAAAATCATGGTACGTTTTATATTCTGGTGCACCTTATAGTCCAAAAAATACGGTAAATGTAGACTCGGGGGGGGGGGGGATCTTACAGATTCATTTATCTCCGCAAACAAAAAGTAATTTATGAGGTCATGGAATTAAAAACAAAAAGTGATCACCGTAATAAGACCTTAAACCACCAAGTTTGTGCAGTCTTATGCACCAAAATTTCTGTTTCAAAACAAGTAACCAGAACAGATAGAGGTGATTTTCTGTTACCATGTAACTGCATATGGTCACTAAACAAGGCAGTCACTAAACAAGGCATTTTGTGATGCATTTTTTAAAGCAATAATTACTTCAATATTCACTAATAAAACAAGTGTTTTTATATTCAACTCTTTTATTCACAAACTAATAGTATCTTCAAGTAGTCTAAAGCAGATTTTCTTCTGTAAATTTTTTGTTTTTGTTTATATCAGATGGTCATTTCAGCATTAAATTCTCACCGGCTCAAGGTTAACTCATGCCAATGTTTCTCTGCTCCTCTATAAGGAAATACTATATTTAAAGATTCTGATTCATATGAAAATGGATGCTTGGGGCAGAGAATTAACAAAGAGGCAGTTGTTTCATGAGAGCCACAAGAAGGCTCTGAAGCTGAATGAATGCATATGTTAAACAAGTCTGAAGAAAACACAGTTGCTCCTTTTATTTACTACATATTTGGAGCAGTCCCTCATGCTCAGCACTAGAATTATTCCTACATATTATAATTATTTCACCTCTTTCCAAACAGCTTTTACCATTCTAAGCTTTTCTTCTGCATAGTTCTAAAGATGCTTGGTATGAATGTTTTCTGGTTGTAAGAAAGATAATTTTACACCCATTCACTACTGCTGCTCTGAAGGCAAAGAGAGACTTGTTAGATTCAGATGAGTTTAAACAGCACTGCCACGGAATGGGACAGCTTGCCACTACCAACTCACCGCGGCCAACTCACCAAAAGAAAACTCAATGCAGCACAATTCAATAATTCTATTTAATTATTTAAAATTATTTTAAAAATTATTTTAATTTTTATCATCACACTTCATTTTTGTCCCTCCTTTGGCATACTTTAATGATTCTATTGTACCATTTATTTTATACCAGTAACTTTTCTCCCATGGCAAGTTGGCCACGGCGAGTTGTCCCATGGCACGTTGGCCACAAGTTGGCAATGGCAAGTCAGCCATGGCATGTTGGCCGCAAGATGGACATGGCGAGTTGTCCTAGTACAAAGAAAATAGATTATATCTAGTTATTTTTGCCTTAGTTCTGCATTTGTAGCAGCCTGTTAGTTTGAATAATAGCAATAGCTTCAAAACCTTAGCAATAAATGTATTTAACTGAGGGAAGCCTAGTGGCATCTCTTTTCTTTTCTTCTTTCTTCTTTCTTTTCCTTTGCCCTTATTCCTGACAAACCACCTGTTTCCCCTTTTTAAAAAGAATCTGTGCCTTTGAGTCACTCCTAATAACTATCTAGATTAGTCCTTGCACTACACCACCTTCTCTTCCACTATTACTATATGGAACAAGAGACAGTTTTCAGATGTCCCACCAAGACATTTGAATATTTCAGCCCATACCTGCTGCTGTCTACATTCATTCAGTTTGTAACAATTCTAAGGTGCAATTAATTCTAGCTAGAAATTAGAATTTAGTCTATTTATTAAGATGACGGATTATATTAATGTCTGTGTGTATAAACACAATGTACACATATCATCAAGCATCAGATAAGTGTAAGTATAATCTTTATTGTCACTGTACTTAAATACAACGAAATTGGTTAAACTTGCTTCTTAAAAAAAGATTTAATATATTCCAACTAGAAACAACAATGTAATGATATCTTGTTATACTTTTCTATTATAGTCAATGCCAAGCTAACCAGACATATTAGACTTTTTAAATTACTTAAGCAGTTAATATTTTTCTAACTTAAATATATAATATTCCTTGAGCCCAAGTTAAAGCAATTATTTAAAGTTTACCACTTACTCTTCAGTGTGCAAAAAAAAGGGATTACATAGCCTGTATTTTGTATGATGTTCATGCTCAGTTTTAACTAGACATTTGCAGTCATTGAAATCATAATAGGAAGATGCAACCTTATTGTTCTTAGTACACCACCACCCCTGTTCTCCATTGGCTCCCTGAGTCTGCCCAAACTTGTGCACTATGTCGATGACAGTTTCCCCTAATAACTGATTTTCAAAATAATCTGATAAAGGTGCTGTAAAGGTTGTTTTAGGTAAAGTAATATTAACCCAAATCAGATGAATGGTAAAGAATATACAGTATGTATAATACTTAGATTTGCAATGTACAACTGAGTGGCAACCTCCAAAAATGTACTGTGCAGTGAGTTATCAACCTGTAATTTTACACATGTACAGATGGAAATATATATTAGCTATGGTGGCGCAGTGGTTAGAATGCAGTATTGCCCACTGCAAGCAGTTCGATTCTCACGGGCTCAAGGTTGACTCAGCCTTCCATCCTTTTGAGGACGGTAAAATGGGGATCCAGATTGTTGGGGGCAAAATGCTGACTCTGTAAACCACTTAAAGAGGGCTGTAAAGCACTGTGCAGCGGTATATAAGTCTAAGTACTATTGCTCTATCCTGTTGAGTTAAAACAAAACTCTTACACAAGCTGATACATATTTGTAGTCTACACTGAAATCAACATATGGTCGACATAATTTCAGCTTTTTTACTGAAGGAAAAAAATATTGTCATAAATACTAGCCACTAAACTTTCTTTAGCAAGTTCATGTAACTATGCATATCTAGATTTGGAATGTTATATTCCTAAACAAATTAAAATCATTTTAAGTTCAAAATAATTGGGTGCGGGACACTGTCACTTACAAAAAGAATGATAAAAACGTATTTCTAATTATAATATACATTTTAGATATTTCTATCTGTTTTTTATTTTCGCAAAATAAAGATGTAATAAAAAGATCTATATTTTTAAATTAAATTCACATGCCTTAACAGTTTTCCCCCTTCTTGCATTATTACTTCTATGTGAATAGCATGATTTTAAGTACTATTCAGTTGTTTTAAACTTGTATTTCACAATTTTACCCAGCAAATATTATTTCCCCTTGATTATTGAGGTGTACTGGTGATAGTTACAGGCTAACACATGGTTAAATAAAGTATGGTTTACTTAGCTCAAATGTCTGGGTTCGCACAACACACTAGGCTAAACCCTAGCCAATGTACTGTGAGCTGTCATACTTCCTGCTTTATTTAACTAACAACTAAGAGTAGCCACGTAGAATTCATTTAATCCTAAAGAACACAAGGTGGCATTTGCCAGGATATCCTTGCCTCCAGGATGATGTTTTTCTTTTCTTACACAAGAGAAAAGACCAATTTCTCCAGTCTTTTAGATGGAGAGACGGAACTGCAGGTCACAGAGCTGATGCATTGTACCTGTGGTACAAAAACAACTAGATTTTTACAAAGAAATTTCCCCACACCACTGTCAGATCAAAACTGGCATCCCTCCCTGCAACTACAATGCATATATTAAAAAAACTGTAAAAAAAAAGGTAGGGGGGGTGTTTCAAAATGACACCACCAGAAAAAAAGTGTTTTATGCAGGATGTGAAACAAAACCAATAACATTAAGAGGTTGGTCCTCAGACCAGATGACTTCATAGATATGAGAAATACAGAGTTTTAGGTTACTAAAAAAAAAGATAAAGAAATCCTTATCTTTGTGGCAGCCTGATTCAAGGACTACATGGAGGCAGAAGTACCGTTTTCTTGCAATTAAAACGGTATGCCATTGTGTAAAGAAAAGTTCCATTTCAAAGCAGAATTTTGCATTTGTGCACACAAAACACACAACGCTACACAGAGCACAGATCTGGGGGTTGGCAGCACACCGTTGGGCAGGACCCGCAGCACTCCCGCCTCCTCGGTTATCTAGCTGTCATGCACTCCAGCACTCCAACTTGCCGATGTTGCAGATGTCCTGGGGCTACAAGCTCCATCCACGAGTTGGAGGAAAGCAGCTAGGTTCTTCTTCTCATAGCTTTTCCTCTGTGCTCAAGAACGGGACATCCCTCTCTCCCCCGCCCCCACGCCTTTGGGGGAACTTTTGGTTTGTTTTTTTACTATTTCAGTTTCAACTGCAGTAATACAAGAGCACACAACAGATAGAAACTCAAAGTAAACCGCTCCAAACTTGATTGCAGAAAATATGACTTCAGCAACATAGTGGCCAATGCCTGGAATGCACTACATGACTCTGGTCATCCTCAAACCCCTAAAACTTTAACCTTAAACTGTCTACTGTTGACCTCACCCCATTCCTAAGAGGTCTGTAAAGGGGCGTGCATAAGCGCACCATCGTGCCTACCATCCCTGTCCTGCTGCCTCACTTATTCCTATCCATTTCATTCCTATTCATGTTTACTCTTATACCTGTTCTCCTGTAAACGATTGACAAATCAAATCAAATCAATAAAAATAAATAAATAAATCCCCGGACCCGCCGCCTAGCTGCTTTTAAAGGCAGCTGGGGAAGGGAAGCCCCCGGCGGTCACTTTTCCTCCCTTACCTGTCCTGAACATCAGCTGCTCGTCTTTGGGGTCTCCGAATTCCGACAGCAAGGACTTGAAGAGGACTCCGCACGAGTTCTGGATCCCGAAGACAGTCCCGTTGCACCACATAGAGGCCAGCATGACCACCCAGCCCCAGCCTCCTTCGGGAGGCTCAGCCGTCTCCGGGTGCACTGGCGGCGGCGGCGGCTCACCCTGCTCCGCCGCCTTCTCGGGAGGGCTCTGCGTCTCCCCCAGCCTAGCCACCAAGTCCGGTTCTGCGACCCCGGAGGCGAGCAAGGCTTCCTGGGGGCACCATTCTCCGTTCTCCTTTTTCGGCTCGTCCTCGTTCGCGGTCTCACTTTCCTCCGAAGCGGAGAGAGCGTTCCCCGCTTCCACCTCCTCGCTGACGGGAGACATAACCGCGAAGCGAAGCGCCGAAAGGCGGCCTTGGGCTACGGCTCGGCGCTCCCTCGCTCCTTAGCACCGCCGAGGCAGCGCGAACATGCCCCGCGTACGAGGAAGGAGGAGCGCGATCCAGAACTTGGCCGCCGGGCGCGAAAAGAAACGTTCTCCCTCGCCGCTCGGGCGACACTACTCAAGAGCCCCGAAGCTCGATTTGCATATTATTGCCCCTGATCCGCCTGCCGCACGAGCGAGCCAGCCCCTCAAGGCGGGGCCGTCCGCGCGAGCCTTTTCCAGGTGGTTTTTGAAGGAGCGGCCCACGAGGAGGCGTGGCCTTCGAGCTAGAGATGCGCTTCTGCGACCCGCCTTCTTCGGGGCGCCCCGCCTTTCAATATTCCGAACGTCCTCATTGGCTAAAGTGGGTGCTGAGGTTCCGCCCCACTCCCCCTCTCCCTGAGGCCCACGAAGCGGACAAACCGGGACAAAGCGCGGAGCGCGCGCTTGAGTAAGAAAAGGCGAGAGCGGGAAAAAGTGGGGGGGGGGTCGGGTTTTTGTTTGTTTGTTTGTTTGTTTTATCCCGCGCGCACCGAGCGGCCAAGCCCATCCGTCAAAGAGATGACGACCACCCGAGGAAGGCGATTGGATGGGGGTTGAGAGTGGGGCGGTGACAACGACAATTGCTGCTGCTGCTGCTGTACTCTGCTGCAGAAGCAGCATCGAAACCCGCAGGCTTAGAATCAGGTCCGCTGGCCACGCGTTCTGCGGCGGAGGAGTCGCGTGAGAAAGGAGATCTTTCCCCGTGCTCACGACGACGGCCTCTCTCAGAGGCTGGCCTCTGTACATGCGTGTGTGTCTCTGATGTCAGCCACCACCCCCAAAGTTAGCGACAATTTATTGGCAGGGCTGAAGGGAAACAAAAAGACTTTTGCCAAGGTACAGGGCAAAAGGGCAGGAGTTTGCACGTAGGGACAAGTAGAAACAAACAACTGAATATTGCTAACTTAGTAGATGCACCCCACATCACCTGGACAAAGATTGACCCAGGTAGATATGGTTCTTCTTTAATGAAGCCGCCATAAAAGGTATCAATCCAGATTAGGACCCATATATTAAAAGATGCTTTAAGTATATTAAATATTTAGCTCTAGTATAAAGCATTCTGGACTAGAGCCCAGCCTTAATCATCAAAGGTTTATCAACCTCACTTCACATACGTCCAATGTTCAGGGTGAGCGTTATCACTAAAGTAAGAAAACAGCAGCAGGTGTTCTTTCAAGAGAGATATCCAGTAGCTCTAGGACATGGCAGCACAAATGTCAAGGCCTTGGGTGTCCCACCCACAAACCCACAGAGGGCCTCCAATCTTTGTAATCTTTAGTGTACAGAAGATATTATAATTTAGGTCTGAAAGAGCACGACAGAGAGAAGAACCAAGCTTTCTTGATCTTTCGGTAGGTGGTTTCCAAGAAAGAGGGGCCTGAAAAGTGGAAAGCCAGATGTTTATAAAAAGTAGAAAAGAACTTATAAAAGAACTACAAGGTGGGAATCCTGTGGTTATACCAAATGGACCTTCCCGAAGGAAGTCGATTGTTAGAGCTGGAATGTTGACATCAACAGGATGGTTGAGAATGGGAGATTGGGGTTCCTCAGTTTACCATGACGCTGCAAATCCCTTATTAGGCTGTCCTTGGACTATAATAATTATAGTAAAAATCAGTTATATTCATTATACTCAATTATAATAATTATAGTCAAACTAGCGGCCCACGGGCCAGATGCATCATGTGCAGGCCACGCCCACTCCAGCTCTGCAAATGGGGGGGAAGTCTTAAAACATCACGTGACAGCAACGTGACACAGTGAGTTTGACGCCCATGGATATTATGAGCTTGCAAGGGCACTTCTATGGTTTAGATGGGATTGCAGAGGGGCTTTGTCTAGGACTCTGGGTGGGTAGGAAGAGTCAATAGAGGGATGATAGGATTATACAAAGAGTGGAGCTGGGTTTGATCCTGGCCATATCCAAAAGATGGGGGGAAAGGGTGCAGCCTCTGTTTCATTTCTTCAATTTATTTTCTCCACTATAAAGCAATTTTGAATGCACTGGAGGTAATCTTATTAACTCTTTTTAATAAAAAGGGGATTATTTTTTGTCTTGGTGTTTTCTGTCCAGTACAGATTTTGCATGTGTGACCCCTTAGAACATCTCTCAATAGCCTTTTACACAGTGGTTGTTGGACACCCTAATTCTTCCAGAAGTGTAAGAAATATTTTAGCAGGGAGAGGGGAATCTTATTACAGCTGCAAAATGCTGAGCAGTAGTTATTTTAACGTTGACCCTTTTAGGGAGAGAGGAACATGAAGAACATGTCTTTGTTTAATGATCACATTTGGGACCAGCAATTCAATCATTAAAGGAAACTAAATGAAACTGTGACTACGCTTATGATCTTACTTCAGCATTCCTTTGCTTTAAAATCTTTCCTGTGAAGATTGTATATGTATAGGATTCATCACAAAGTTATTTTTTCATCACTGTGGTAACTGTGAATAGTCACTAAATGAGGCAGTTACTAAAAAAGACTGACTGAAATTTTAGTAAGAAATTACTGAGCCATTGTAGACATGTGATGAATAAAATCACTCAGATTTATTTAGTTTTGACTGGTCAATTGCTATAAACTTGATAGCAGTTAGACTTATATACCGCTTCATAGGGCTTTCAGCCCTCTCTAAGCGGTTTACAGAGTCAGCATATTGCCCCCAACAGCAATCCAGGTCCTCATTTTACCCACCTCGGAAGGATGGAAGGCTGAGTCAACCCTGAGCCGGTGAGATTTGAACAGCCGAACTGCAGAACTGCAGTCAGCTGAAATAGCCTGCAGTGCTGCATTTAACCACTGCGCCACCTCGGCCCTCGGATAAAAGGTGGATTTTGCCCTAGTTCCTGGGGACAAGAACAAGATCTTTTCGAGTGTTAGTACTGCCAGATGGCTGTTACATTCTTATCCTTTCTAGTTGTTTAAGGCTGCCTGAATGACTGCCATTGGCTGTGTCCAAGCTGTGGTAAATTCACCTTGAAGCGAGGAGGTGTAACTATTTTCTTGAAAAGATGGTATTGAGGAAATGGTATATTTTCTTCAAAAAGCCATCTTAGGACACAGCAGTATTAGATGATTTTTCAACCTGTTTCCGAACTCCTAGCTTTGGGGAAGATAGTAGGGTTGCAAATCTAGAGGACCCTGAAAGAAATAGATTGTCTGCACACTTTTCTGTCAGGCTATAGATTAGCATGTCTAAGATGACACTGATCACATTTATGGAAGACTTCTGGTGGGACAGGACAGGGTTGATGTGACTTGGCTGGTCTTGCCTGATCTATGCGCAACTTTCAATATAAATTGATCATATCTTTCTGGGCCACTTTTGGGGTTGGGGAAAGAGAACGTTATTCTATAGCAGCCGTTCTCTTCTCTGGTTTGCTAGATCCAAACCAATTCTCTCTAGTTCCAATTGGTTTGGCAGTAAGGATATGATCAAGCACATAAGTCTGGCTTTTGATTTAAAAGAACAGCTGCTCCCCAGTACAACTCTACGTAAGACTGCCCTTAAAGACCACTTGGAATGCGGGCATGGAATGCACCAGTGCAAGTAGTTATGGGAGTATGTCATTTCACTCTTACAGCATCACTACTTCACAAGCTGTGCTGGTTGACAGTTGGCTTTTGGATGCATTTCAAGCTACTAATGGTCTCCCATAAGGTTCTTCGTGGCTTCCTGGTTACCTACAGGCTGCCATCTCTAGAACTTTTTGGTAAGATCTTCCAAGGTTGCTTTGCTCCAGATCCCATTGGTAAAGCAGAGGAATCTTGCAGGACCTTGGAGGGTCTTTCTATACCCAAATTTGTCCTATGGAACATCATTGTTCTGGAAGTCCATATGGCCCTGATCCTACAGCCCCTAAGACCTATAAGACCTGGCTTTTTAGTAGGCCCTGGGGCCGGGTAGTTTGGGTTCCGGCTAACCAAAATATGTTCTGTATTATTTTGGAAAGGATTGTTGTTTTCTATGATGTGGAATGTGAAGTCATATTATTATTTGTGATAATTTCCTTGTTTTTGTTGTTCTAATTTATTTCTATTTGTAAATCACCTAGAATTGTGACTGTGATTGAAGCAGCCTTTGATTAAATAAGTTGTTGATATATCTGTGTATGTGTGTTCTTGTTCATGGAGATAATGAAATGGAAATCCTGGACATTAGATTAAGATTTCCTAAGTTATGTCTAAGGTAAACATTCAGGTCTTATGTTTTTGCATGTATTGCTAAATAACATTTTGATCTTGTCCTTAATATTTGGTATTTGATGTAATGTAAATCATGTAATTTAATTATAAATTTAGAGAAGATTAAAAAAAATAAAAGTTCAACTCTGAAAGTATAGGACAATCATGGCAATGTGTATACCTTTGGTCAATCTTATATATCAGTTGCATCTGCGTAGGCAAGTAGTTTTATGTATACTTTATATATTGTTTTTATGCTTATAGTATGTTATTTGTACACCACCAAGAATCACTGAGAGAGAGATGGGTAGTCCCTAAATATGATAAATAAATAAATAATATTTGATATGTTCCACAACATTATTTGTTGGTTGTCAACTTTTAATTATTGTTCCACCTTTATATATGATTAGATTTTTTTAAAATCTCAGAATTAGCAATTTTATTATTGTTTTTCTTTATATTTATTTTAATGAAATATATCTGAGAGATGACTTGGCTGTATTTTCTTTTGTAAGTTCAATAGACTATGTGCAACAAAATAGCATTTATTTCTAAATATATATTATTTATTCATAAGCATTCCTGTGTTCTTGAAGTAGCTTATGAAAATCTCAAAGTCTTGAAATTGTCCAGAATTTAAAAAAAACAAAAACAACCCAGTACAAGCAGGTGGAAAATGGCCTTCTATTCAGTCAACACAACTCTCAAATGAACCCACCATAATAAAGAGAAAAAATGAAACAAGTTTTTTTGTGACAGAACAATCACCCAGTGGAACAGCTTGCCTTCAGAAGTTGTGGATGCTCATTCACTGGAGGCTTTTAAGAAGAAACTGGACAATCACTTGTCTGGAATGG